ATTTCCAAAAAAAAAAAAAAATGTGGCAAACAAATTTTTTTAAAATTATCTACAAGTTTTTATTTGACCTTAGAGTAATAATAATAATAATAATAGTAATAATTATCGTCTAGAATCTTACAAATAGTTGAAAAATAAAAAAGAAAATGGAAAAAAAAAAGAAAGAAAAAATTGCAATTTTATTTTTAACCTGAACTGCATTTAAAAAACTTTTTTTTTTTTTTTTTTTTTAAATTTGTGTGATGGCCAAAAGTTGACTAAACTCATAAAATTTTAAATGGATAAAAATTTTTTTGTTATATTTTAAACGTTAATTACACGACAAAAAATAATTTAAATCGTGTCGTTAGACAAAAAAAAGTTTTTTTTTTTTTTTGTTTTAAAAATAAATAATTTTAATTTTTTTAAAAAAACAATTTTTTAAAATGTTAAAACGGGATTTTAATAAATATTTTAAAAAAAAAAAAAAAAAAACGATCATAATAATAATAATAGTAAAATGTATATTTTTTTTGTTAATCCTTATTACGCTACTGAAATTTCAAAAAAAAATTCAATGCGTTAATGATTGTGATATATAATAAACAGACAATAAAAATAATCGAGAAAGTTTAAAAAAGAATAGAGAAGAGAGTAATTTATAATGGTAATAATAATAACTAGTGAATGACCTTTCAACCTCACCCCGACTCCCACCCCAACCCCCACCACCACCACCACCGCCGCCTACGTAATTCTCATTTTCTGCTCTATTAAAAAAAAAAATAATTAAAACTGAAACAGAAAAAAAAAAAAAATTATATACATTTAATAAAAAAAAATTTAAAAATAGGTGACCAACACGTAATAATTAATCACCTTCTAGAATAAAATAAAAAAATTAAATAATTTAATTTGTCGAATTTTCTAGAAAAAAAATAAGAAAAATAAGAAAAAGCAGAAGAAAATTTAAAAATAAAACAAATAAAAAAAATCGTAACGTACTTTTTTCTTTTTTTTTATTACATCATCACTCGGAAAAATTAAATTATCATCATATCATTCGTTCCTAACCGGAAATGAATATAAAAAATAATAATAATGATCATTTTTATGGTGAGGGGCGGGATTACGGGGAAGAAGAAGAAGGGACAAGGGCGGAGAATGGGGGAGGGAGGGAAAAGAAGAAGAAGAAGTAATAAAGGTGAACGCGTGCGATCATTTTGTGAGATGAAAATTTTTTTTAAAAAAATATATATAAAACGCTTTTACGTCATCGTTTCATTACGTCATCAAATTTTTTTTTTTTTTATATATATATATAAATTTATTTTACTGTCGCATTAATTATATTAACCGATTCGATACGTCGACGTAAATAATAATAATAATAATAATAAATTTGTAAATTATTTTCGAAATAAATAAATAAATGAAGTTACATTG